CTGCGTACTATTGTATTATTTTCTTTTTCCATTTGTTTTACTCGAATTTGTAAGTACGACTAGCTTACGTGGAAAATGACTTCGCCCGTATTTCTATTCATGTGCAAGCAAGCAATCCTTCATTTTTTAATCTTTTGAAAAGACGTATTTCATTTTAAAAATAGAAAAAAGAACACGATTCATAGATGAATATTTCTCCTTAACGATGAAGCAATTTGTCCCGCGTTGCATAAATAATAAACTTGTAGGTAAAGCAGATTTGAAAGAGCTGATGAGCTGTTAAGGACAGTATATTCTGTAAAAGTTCTATTATAAAAATGAGAAAGCTTCAAAAGTCTTTTAAAAAGCAACTTCCTCAAAGCCCATTTACAACATGGAATTGAAAATCCTGCCTAATATAAAGTTTGTCGTAATAGTTTTAATCTGCTCAAAGCTTTAATAATCTGCTAATGTTTGAATAAGTTCTAAATATTTTTCCGACAGAAAAATCATGAACTGCTACATACTTATAAGAAGTGGATATTAGTGTAGCAGAAAACTGAAATTCCAATGTAGCACGCGAGGAATGACGAGAACTCGCATAACGCTAGAGATGCTCGGTGGTAGAGAGAGAGAGAGAGAACGAGTTAGCGTGTCTCATAGCGATCCCTCGACAGCAGCAGGTAGCGAACGACGTTGAAGGGGGGAATGAGCGAAGGACAGAGATCGAAGAGAGCCAATAAGCCGCGTCGGCCATCCGTCTATCGGCCCATTGACTTGCATATCGCTGCTCGCCAGACCTATACGCACAGACACATACCAGCTCTCTGCTCACTAGCAAGTATCTGTCTCTCTCTCTCTCTCTCGCTCTATTTATCTATCTATCTATCTATCTATCTAGCTGGGCGTCTAATATTGGTAATCAATTTCCCAAGAACGAGGTTCATGTGTCTCTGACCAGCAACGAGCTGCTGCTGCTGTTGCTGCTGCTACTGCTCTGCCTAGATACATACACACGCGCACGTCAATCTAGTTTCTTCATTATCACGCCTGTAGCTTACGCGTTTATGATTAGATGTTCATCACTACACGAGCGCCCGTTGATATTTAAAATAAACTTCTGTGTAATCCCGAAAATACCGCTGGTTATTCCGAAGAAAGCCAGTACTTATTATCCTTGAACGGCTGTCAATTTCAATCAACATATCATTTTCAATTCGTCGTTCAGCGATAGCGAGAGAGAATCAAAAAGATATCAGTCGCTAGTACGTAATGCAATTGGATTTGGAAGCGCGCGTGCTTGCACATTGCACGCACGCTGATATCGAATGACGTATGAGCTTCCACTAGTTTCCCCGCACCGTTCTTATCGAACTATCCGAATTCAAAGACACGGGGAAAGCTGAAACTGACATATGGCTGATTGGCTTGCTACTACTGCTGCTCGTACCTCTCTACCTATCAATGCGACTAGCGAGAGAGCGCGCAGTTTCACCAACTAATTCTCGACACGACATAGAAACACATCAAAGGATATCAGAACTCTCAAATGTCATAGATATGCGTAGAGCTCTCTGACTTTACATTCGAGATATTCGCGACTCAGTTTGTTCGCCGACGAGGACCATTATTTTTAGCTAATTAGTTCCTCTAATAAATTTCTTGCGAGTCAGCTATATGTGCAAAAGTGCAAGAGCGTGTGCAGTCTAAACGAATACCCTTTGATTGGTGCACTAATGGAATGTACTTCCTCCAAACGCGTGTAAAGCTATAACCGAAATATCCCAAAGCCCTCTCAGCGTGTCAAGTGGCACCGTGGAAAAGCTTCGGAGAGGGTCGGCTGGGGATAGCATTCCATCCGATAATTATGAGTCTTATTAGCTCGGTCAGTCCAGCTCAATTAGCGCGATAACCAATTGGTATGACGGAGCTTTGAGCTTCCGGTTTCCGCCTCGCGGAGCTTTCCTCGCATTCCCACCGCCACCGTAAGGGACGTTTATGTGTACGTGTGCACAGTCGGCGATTGGCCTGTGCCGTTGTATGTCAACTGCTGGTGGTGGTGCTGCTGCTGCTGTTGCTGCTGCTTCTGAGTCTTTACTTGAAAGCAACCGAGCGTGGTTCATCCTCCCCATGAGAGAGAGAGAGAGAGAGAGAGAGAGAGAGAGAGAGAGAGAGAGAGAGAGAGAGACAGACAGACATACAGAGAAAGCAAGAGGGATAAGCATCAGCCTCGTCTGTTGAATTTGCACACGTTTGCGGATGCATTTTCCTCGGTGAAAATTTGAAGCTTACGTATAATTTCAAGTTTTCATCGAGATCTTGTTATAGTTTGTGCTGATTATTTTGACCATGTAAATTATAAAGTTGTTTAATTATTTGTATATAAAGTATTAAAATTAGAAAGAATTGTAACTGTATTCAAAGGCACTTCTTCGAATAATTGAATCTAGCTAAGCTTGTTCGTAATAATCTTTTAGAAAATGAGACCATTAAAATTCATGCCAGATTACTTCCGCTGAATGAATAAAAGAGCGTTATATCAATTAAAATTTATAGTAAAGACTTCGATGGAACTTTACTTTCATAGAACGATTATCGTCCATCAATTCTAATTCAAGGTTTATTATACTATTCAGTGCAGTGAACCTATACGTCAGGTTTGTCTTTAAATGTTCAATGGTAATTTGAATTTTTTCAAGGTATTTAATAAAAGCTTTACGTAATGAGTAAATTTTACTCCTTTCAAAACTTTCACGAGAGAATAAGTGAAATTAGTTTTAAATGTAATGAGGAGTTTACATAAAAGCGTCTGCACAGTAGATGTTCATTACTCGCTAATTTGCGATTTTGCATATTTTAGATGTCAAATTTAGTAGGCGAAAGTCATAGGCAAGTTTGAGCAATTGTACATCTCGTCAATATCGCACATAGACATTTGTATGTGTAAGCGTGGAGCAATTTATATATCACAGCATTTCGACAAAAGGCGCTTTAATTTGCATGTTTTACAATATTCTATGCAATATTTATTAATTAATATTACTGAAGAAGATTGTCGACAAAATGTGTCATGAAATAATAAAAAGCGATAAAAATTACATTTATCAACCTGATAATATTCACGTCGAAAGCGCTCAGCTGTAATATAATCAGACAATAAATTTATTGATTAAGATGAGAATAGCTACCAAGGCAGACAATGAATCATGATGATATAACGCGGTACCCAACAATTTCAAATCTCTATTGCGTTATCGTGAAGGTAATTGATGTGCAGGAACATGTTTATAAAACAACAATACATATATAGCTTGAACAATATGAAGTGGATAGCTGTTCCTATTGTTTCTAATTCAAATAATTTATAATCCATCGTAATTTTTATATGCACTAAAGTGAATAACAATTACTTATTTGCTTATTTAATGTTATAAATGTACGTGTACGTTATTATATAGTTGAAAGGCACATTTGAGTTTATGCCTGAACAAACTTTGATGATTCTACTAGTTTGCGTATACGCAGGATTCAGACGATTAATAGTGAGTAGTGATTGAAACATGTTTCATTTAATTTATTTTCAATTAGTATTAATTAATTTATAAACAGCAAGGAAAAATTATATAATTAGAATTAGTATATTTCAAGTGAATCATATAACTTAATTTAAAAGGATTTTATGAATGAATGTTTGTTAATTTATGAATAAAATGTACACTTTGTAAAAGGAAATTTTCAGATCTTCTACGTTTAATCGTATGTAAGAGCCTAAGCACAATAATAGAACATCCATCCAACATAACGATAAAAAACAAAACAATGTTCAGTAGTGGGTATTAGAAAAGTTATCAGCGAGGTTCACTCGTCATAAACAAAATCGATAGTATCCGCAAAGCCTTGCGTCAATGTCCGATAATAGCCGCTGCGGAAAAACTGTAACGCGCTCGCGCACAGCTCTTGGAAAAATACTTTGACTGAGCTATCAATGCTGAAAGGTCTGCGCGTTGAAACGTATCGGTGGTGGCATACCAAGCAAGAGAGCGAGAAAGCTACAACAACCCTTGGGCGTATATAAAACCGAGGCGGCGACGGCAACTTTTACGTGCAACGTCGCCGTTGCACGTCGAATGACGAGCATTATACACGTGTAGCAGCCATAAAGCCGTTTTCACTGCACGTGCGAGAAAGAGCCTGCAGCTATTGGTGCTTGGGGAAAAGAGGAGAGGGAAAGAGTAACCGATTTAACACAACAACTCTCTCTGTCTCTCTCTCTCTCTCTCTCTCTCTCTCGCTCACTCGCTCACTCGCTCTCCGTCTATGTGTGCGCTTCGAGCTTTGTTAAGCGAATAAAGTTACGCGCGGACGAATTTAACAGTAGAATCGGGTTGGATGAGCGATTTAACGCGGATATTCTCGTTAATTGAACATTTAGAATGAGAATGAGTTTTGCACGTATACGCTATGCGTGGATGCTTTCCCGAGAGTTCAAGCCGCAGGATTTCTTTTTTTCAAGCGTAAATGTTACGTTGGGATTTAGTTTAGTACACGTTCCACGAGGGAGAGAGTTGAAATACACGCGTGATAGCACTGCTATTTTAACCCGTTTGCCACCACTTGTAGCCCCAGCAGTAGCACCAGCAGCACCAGCAGCACCAGCAGCACCAGCAGCACCAGCAGCACTAGCTAAAGCTATTATTTTTACCGAATAACTTTCGGCGCTCGCTACGCGCAATCGCCTCTGTGCACACGCGCGTTTTACAGCTTAGTCTCAATGTATGTAGAGAAATACAATCAAGATAAATTCGATGTGTTTTTTTTTCCTTTTTGGGCTTTGCGCTTACGCATTCGCGGCTATCGAAATGCCGTTACTGCTTTTCCCCTCCGACGAAAATTCAGCACTTGGATTTTCGATGAATTAATGTGAACATTTTTTTCAATAACTCGTGTTTTTTTCTAGACGCTGAACTAAATTTGAAAGAACTAAAACGATAGATTGACGGAAATAATGTGTTTGTTTGCAGTTAGCAGTGTCAATGTTCAAGGGGTGGTCGGACAGATCACTACTCTGCCTTGCGATACCAAGCCACGGAATAGTAGTGATTTTGTTACGATGGTGCTATGGTTCAAAGAGTCAACGAACGAGCCTGTATACAGGTGAATATATCAAACTAATAACAGCAATTGGAATGACGTTTACTGACACCATATATATCCCCTCCTCCAACGCTGATACAATGAATGTGACAGTTAGCTACGAGGCCATGCCTCCTATCATAAAGTGTAGCAGCTGAGTCACTTTATTATACCATTTATCAATTTTCAATTGTGCAGCCGTGCACGAGCTTCTCGCTCGCCTCCACACAAACACACAAATTATCCGTCTCCGGTATATCCTCTCTCGCACGTATACCTAGCTAAGCAAGAGTGCATCAAAAAATATTCCATGCGGAATATATCACCGTGTGTGCGCGCAAAGCTAGCAAAGTGTCATCTCATTTTAGCTTCTCTAGAGACTACAAACTCGCAAAAGGCCGACAGATTTACAAACGGTAACAGATAACGCGCGCCACCGGAGATTTACATTAGGAACGTGGGATTTTCTCAGAGATGCTCGTGTGAGCGCGAAAGGTAAACTCCATGTAAATGCGAGTGTTTATATACGCATAAGCACACGCACACGTGTCGGAAAGATTCGCGCTAAGAAAAAATAAATTACGTATGTTGATAATCTATGATGTAACAAAAAAGTGGAGTTATAGTATCAGTCAAATATTTTAACACCTTACCGCATGAATCAATGATATTAGGCAATAAGAAAAAAATACCAAGGAAATAACTCAAAATTTATAAATAATATATATCAATAGAGAAGTAGCCCGTAATTTTGATACACCTCTTTTTGCTAGTTAATTATTAGTTTTTGAACTACTTTTTATATTCAATCCTACGTACAAGAGTTATATCACACCCTCTTTTTAGATATTGGCAAAAAGCTCTAAAATGAAGATAGCTGTGCTACTAAAATATACATTGGTATTAAAAATATTTTTAAAATGGTACAGGAATATTTCATAAGCATTTACGTAGAGCGCATTTTAAATAATTTTTTGGATGACCTAGTTGTACACAGCATTTATTATATGCTAATTCAATGGTGGATGGAAGCACAACCAATTAAAATTCAATTTCATTCTCGACTGTTGAACTGCCGTTTTAATCGAGATTAAATATTTGAAATACAGCAGTTGTGATTCGCTTTTCTTTTTTTTAACCGTGTGTCTGGAATTGAATTTCCATTCACGATTGCTGCACAATGTGAATTTGAAAATTAATTCGAACAATAGGTGGGGTTCTATTAACCTGCAAACTATGACTTGATAATGAAAAAAAATAATAAGCGATTGGCTTTAGCAGTAATATTGTAACAATACAATGATTATTCATGAAGTAATTCCAATGGAAAGTTTTAATATCTCTAACGACATGTTTCATACCAAGACGGTTATCCCGATTGGATGCGTAGTAATAGGATACGCGTACAAATAGATCAGCCATAGTAGGACACGGTATGGCGGCAAATATCAGTGATCAACGCAGGGTGGAACGCTAAGGGACGAGGGGAGGTGAAGGACTTGGCTCGTCAGCGTACGCGGTAGTGATGACCGCAGCGCATGTTAACGCAGAATCGCCCACTTTGCGTTATGACCAGATATTTCGTCACGCCAATGCGCCTACCTAATCAATAGCCGCGTCGCACGCTTATTAAGCGAGCAAAGTGGACGCTGCGCTGCCGTTTCTACTGCTACCAGTCCTTCACCCTTAACTAATGCTTTACGCAATTTCCATTGCTAGCTATTGTTCATAATAGACGCTAACTGCTATTTTTTTTCAGTTAGCCGGCTCTCTTTTACTCGAAATATATCGTGCGGAAACATCTAATAGCTTTCGCATTGTTGAGAATTTATTTTTAAACTTTAGCGAATAACGAATATTACATATTTTTCAATGGTTCGATACACTTTCTATTGGTATATGTTAAAGCATTGAGTTATAGACGTTTTCACAATATTTTGATAGTATTCAAAGAACCGTATTCTATAAACTTCCAATATCCTGATATCTAGAACATTTCTATGATGCGGTTTCATAAAACTCCTAAAAAAGGAAGTTCAAGTAATGCCGCAGTAATACGAATAAAGTTCCTTTACTGACAGTTATAAAATAAACAGCTACATAATTCGAACGTCCAAGCTTACCATTTGGAATGCAGTTATATAAAATAAAACTATAAGTTCTATTTAGATTACACAATCAATTTCTGCAAGTCTACGCATTGCTGCTCTCAAATAAAAACGTCAAAATAAAGAATTATTGATAAAGCCAAGATAACAGATAGAGAGAGAGAGAGAGAGAGAGAGAGAGAGAGAGAGAGAGAGAGAGCGAGAGAGAGAGAGAGAGCGAGCAAAACAAAAGTACAAGCTCAAACTGAAAATGCGAAATTAGAAAAATGAGCCGGCAAATTTCAAAGTCGGAAGAGCACGCGGCCTAGATAAGTCGTGCGCTCTGTTGAAAACGCTGACGCTAGCACTGGCTGCAACCTATGCTGCCAAAGGCAATGTTAGCGCGCTACTAAACGCGAAACAAACTCCTCTTTACCTCCATCCACCCTTCTCTCTCTCTCTCTCTCTCTCTCTCTCTCTCTCTGCGGTAATTCTCATCTTACGTTGCTGCCGCTCGCATACGAGAGCTCATTGTACCACCGCGAGGCAGAGACAAGCTGCGGTATACACCCGTCAGCAGCGTGCCCAGGTTAGGTTCTCCCTCCCCCCTCCCACAGCCGATTTGCCGACGTTCATGTCCGCGTTCCCGCGCGAGCACGTGCAAACAGCGGGATGCGCACGAATTATCGTCCTATTGTTCACGGTATTCCCGTAACGAGACCGTACTCACCCTCCTTCCCCGACCACTCTCGAAAAACCGTCGTCGCACTGACTGCAGTTTTAAAGAGACCGTTACGCCACGGTTTTACGAGTTGTGCGCCCACGCGCAGCTATTTTCATGAGGAAAATTTGAGGACGGCCAGCGGCACTTAATTTCAGGGAAAACATTGTACTTTGATTTTTTCCAGCACTTGTATGAGTATAATGGCCGTGTTTACGACTCTTGTCCGACAAGAGATTTACTTGTTCTACTGCGCAACTATTGTTGGCGTTTTATTTCGAAGTTGTCTGATATTATGATCAATACATGCTTGAAAGCATTATTCTGTTTAAGATGGTGTAAAGAAATTACGGATTTCGTTATTTTAAAAGTCGAAAAATAATTTTCTACCGTTGTAAAGCTCAAACATCGTCGACATTAATGACCCAAATTATAATTCAAATAGCAGCATCAGCAAGTGACGTCAGCATCAAACGTAACGAGCTCTCATATAGAAGAGCGCGAGCATTATTATCGATAAAACCGGGCTCATATTCAGCGCCATTCAGTACTTAGTTGTAGAGAGAGATCATTATACAGAGTCGAGAATTCAAATTACCGTTCTCTCACTCGAAACTCCGCACCCTGGAAAATATGTGCGTGTATATAGTGTGCGCGGTATTTTGCATAATTATCCACCCCCTCCCCCGAATATTTGGTCAAATTCATGGCATAATTAGACCTTTGTCAGCGCTAGACTCATCCTATTTTGCATAATAATATGAAAATAGTTCTATACGAGACGGAACAAAAGTGTAATTGTAATCGTTGCGATTGAACGAACATTTCACAGTACGACCGATACTTAGCAATTTTAAAAACAAATAAATTTTATTTAAAGTGAGTATTTTATCCAAAGCCAATTTCAAATTTGGTTTGTCTTTTTAGTTACTGAATTGTTTGTTGCTTCAGAACAACGGGTTGAAAAAAATACCGAACGGCGATTGACCTTGGTCCCCGTCGACGAGTAGTCGCAAGCTTTCACGTCATTAAAAAAAATCTGAGTTAATTTTTTGTGTTACTTCGTTATCTACACTCTCAAATATGCACTTTTTCGTCCCAATTGTGATTCAAAAATCAAAATAAACGTTTGAAAAAGAATTTCTGTTTTGTCGAAAGTTTTGCGAGAAGTTTCGTAAAGTAAACTTTTGAAAACCAAACCGACGGAAGTTCAGATGAGACAAAAAGGAAGAAATTTCTATTGGAAAAAAAACCAAGTTCAAGGAAATATTTACAAACATTCGTGCTAGAAATGCTCGAGATGTCGCGAAGCTTATGCAGCACGAAGTTGCGCAGAGAGGAAGAGACGACACCGTGCATACAGGTAGGAACTGAGTAAGGGGTCGGGTGAGAGGACGTGTTGCGGCGTGCATAGGTACACGCACGCTTAGCAAAGCATACTGCGGCTCTTTATTCGTGCACGTGTATATACACTATGTATGTATAAATCGAATCAGCTACGGCGAGAATCGCCGAGTCGACAAACCAGCCATCTGCTATTACGTTGCATTGTACGTGGCCTGACGAAGCTGTTTTCATTTTTATTCGCTAGCGCTGTTTTTACTCTCTGCTACGTACTCTTTCACTCTCTCTAGCGGGTTTCGACTTCGTGGAAAAACGCTTCGTTTCAATGGAAACGCCACTGAGTAGATTTTTATTTACCTCGGGAATTGCGCGATGTGTGGTTAAATTAAATAACAACAAAAATCAACAGTTACTCGGCTCTTATTACACCAGTTGAGAATATTACCCGGTATTCGCTTTTTTCTTTTTTCCGGTACATGAGATTGTGGAGAATGTAGTAGCTAGAAGCGTCAAAAAAATAAAGAGGGTATTATACTATCGAGCACGGTTTCATTGCAGTGTTTTATTACTCCGAGAGAGGGAGAGAGAGAGAGAGAGAGTACAGTCTTTGGCGCTCCCAAGGAGATGGTGTCTTTTAATTGTGTCCTAAATCTCCGTAACACAGCCAGTTTGTTGCCAACGGACTACTATGAGTCTTTTTATAGATACTTAATTCCTGACCTCGGTTGTAATTTATATTTTTGGCGAAATGTCTGCTCGCAAAATCTTTTTTATAACAAATAATTTCTGCACTAATATACTGTATCATTACGCCACTTGAATGTGCGAAAAACAATAGATTTTCCGTACAATATAGGTAAAATTGAATA